GCAAAACCCCAATTTTCTGGAGCATATACGTATATTTCTCTCAATTATGTTATCTTATATAAAAGCCATAAATTTTAGTGTTAATTGGGCTTTCTGTTGSACTCGCAGCCCTCAGCTCTCCATCCAAACTGCACGGCCTTGCTTTTCCCTAAAAACCCTCCCCCTGCTCCAGCAGGGAGCTGTCAGACCTGAAAAAAGGGGATTTTCAGGCACGGCTGTGATGGGATCTGCATTTCTACCCGGGGTCAGAGCTGAGATTCTCAGTTTTTTACAGCAAAAACTCTCATTTTTTTCCTTTCCAGATACCTCACCTGACACTGGGATTCCTTTCTGCTGGCTGTAGGAAGGGATTGTCCCTGTGCCCCACAGTTTGTGCCCTACAGATGTCCAGGACCCCTCCTCTCATCCCAACTCCCGTGGCAGGGACACCTTCCCCTATCCCAGGGTGATCCAAGCCCTGTCCAGCCTGGCCTGGGGCATTTCCAGAGATGGGGAATCCATGGAATCACCTGGGCCAGGGCCTCCCCACCCTCACAAGGAATGATTCCTTCCCAAAATTCAGCCTCAACTCCCCCTCTGTCACCCTGACCCCATTCCCTGTRTCCTGTCCCTGAATTTCCCGAGGAAAAGTCCCTCCCCAGCTTTCCTGGAACCCCTGCGGATCCTGCAGGGACTCTGAGCTCTCCACAGAACCTTCTCCTCTCCAGGTTGAGCATTCCCAGCCTCTGCCAGACTGCTCCAAACCTGGATAATGATCACCTGAAATGCTGAAAAAAGTGGCCTCTAACAAAGGAGAAACCCAGAATTCAAAAATATAAAATTCAGTTTTAATGAAGCAATTAAAAAAAAAATGGATCAAAAAGAGAAGATGAAGAGACATCCCATCCCAAATTGGGTGAGGTTCTCTAAATCTTGGACTCGGCTTTAAACCCCTTTATCTGTCTCTGCCTTTAAAAAAACGCGAATTCAACGAGCAATAAACCTAAGAAAAAACTTTTTTAAAAGCAACCCTCTTAATTCCCAATGTCAGAATATTCCTGCAGGACCCAGATTCCAGTTCCGAGTCCCAGGAAAATGATATTTTCCCAGTTAGGAATGGAAATAGAGAAATAACTTACCGAGCTCGTGGTGCGGAGTAAGGACTGGATGGAAAGCTTRGAAATGGGGGGTTTTATATGGAGTTTTTATAGTCTTTCAGACTTCGTGGAAAACCTGAGCCACTGAGTATCAAACCTTAATAAACCGCGGGAGCCGATTTGTTCATGTGCAACTTTTTCACTGGCTGTAATTATTTTACTCACTTGGGCTCGTTAAAGCGTTGTTATTCCCAAATCCTGTGAAAAACACCCCACACCCTGCGGGTTCTTTCCATTTTAAAGCTTTATGAGGAGAAGAAAAAGCCGCTTTTAATCCCATTGACCTCGTTAGGTTCCTAAAGAAACTCATCCCTCTCCTAAAGCTCCTTTTGGCAGTCGGACAATCGGGAAGCAAAGGGTGGGGAGCCGGAATTGATGGTTGTCCCTCCGATTTTCCTGCAGAAAGGCAGCTGGGACACTGAGGAACGAAGCTTTGGGGAGCAGGATTGGGAGAGATGTTCCCAAGGATGGAACTGAGCTGATCCCGCGCTCCTCAAACTTTTTAACAGTAATTTCCCGATTTTGCTTCCAGCCCCATCCAGCCTTGCCCTGGAGACTTCCAAGGCTGCAGAATCTGCGAAATAATCTGTGCCAGGTCCTCACAGGGACCTTCCCAAAAATCCCACCTGACCCTCCTCTGTCACCCTGAACTCATCTCTCATTACCCGTCACCACCCGCCCTTGCAAAACCTTTCACCCCGGCGATAACAGAACAGGGAATTCTTTCCTAATGACCCCATTGTCCCACCCTACGATCATCCCGACAGCTCCGGGAACATCCCGACAGCTCCGGGATCATCCCAGCAGCTCCGGGATCATCCCAACAGCTCCGGGATCATCCCAGGAGCTCAGGGAACATCCCATCAGCTTCGGGAACATCCCAGCAGCTCCGGGATCATCCCAGCAGCTCCGGGATCATCCCAGGAGCTCCGGGAACATCCCAACAGCTTCGGGAACATCCCAACAGCTCCGGGATCATCCCAGGAGCTCAGGGAACATCCCATCAGCTTCGGGAACATCCCGACAGCTTCGGGATCATACCAACAGCTTCGGGATCATCCCAAGAGCTCCGGGAACATCCCAACAGCTTCGGGATCATCCCATCAGCTCCGGGAACATCCCAACAGCTTCGGGAACTCCCAACAGATCCGGGATCATCCCAGGAGCTTCGGGAACATCCCAACAGCTTCGGGATCATCCCAGCAGCTCAGCTTTGCACCCAGAGCTCGGCTCAGTCCCCGCGCCTGGAGCCGGGCCCTCGGAGGGGAACCTGCTCCCGACGCGTGATGTCATTAAGGGTAATTAGCAGCCTTTGATGTGCTGGGACGCTACTCTGAAATTTGCTGCGTGCTGGCGTTGCTGCTCCGGGACAGCTTGGCTCGTGTCAGACCTTAATGAGTATTTCGGAGGGGTTTATGAGCTCCTGTGTTTCATGTCCTGTCAGCRCTGCTCCTGCTCCGTGTGCGGGGTAAACACCGGCCTGAGCCAGCTCAGCACCCCGGGAGTGTCTTCATTAATCAGGGGTGTCTTCATTTATCATCAGAATGTCTTCATTAATCACTAAAACGTCTTCATTTATCAGCGGAGCAAAGCTGAGTTTCGGGGTGAGAACAGGCTCCCATGAAGGTCTTTTCCCCCGCTTTGTAGCTCAGAGCATCCTTTTAGAAAAAGCCCATCTGGATGTGGTGATTTGGCTGTGATTTTACCTATCTATTAAATATATTACCAGTTTATATGTTGGAAAGGGGAATAGAGTTAGCAGGGAATCGTGGAACAGTTCGGGTTGGAAGGACCTTAAGGAACATTTCATTCCAGCCCCTGCCATGGGGACGTGGGAGGTGGAATTCCCTCTCCAAAATCCCTGACAGAGAGGAAACAGCCTCGAGCTGTGCCAGGGAAGGCTCAGGTTGGAAATTTGAGAAAATTCCTCCTGGAGAGGGTGGTCAGGCTTTGGAAGGGTTGGATTCCCCATCCCTGGAGGTGTCCAGGGAATGCCTGGACATTGGTCTGAGTGACCAGGTGGACTCGATGATCCCAGAGCTCTTTCCAACCTCGCTGATCCTGGGATTCTGATTTTGGTGTTTCGTTGGTGACAGGGATGGACTGAATCCTTGCTCCCTGATTTTTTGAGCACTTCAAGCTCTTGCTTGATCCCTTCAGGTTTAATCTTTACGATGGTGATGATTTTTGTATTTATCATCTTTATCTTCTAAGGAGCTGTAATCCGATCCTCCAGCCTGTTTTAGCCRGTAAATCGAGCCAATGCTGCTCTGCCATGTCCCTCACTCAGGCGCTGAGTTTTGGCCGCGTTCCCTCTGTTGATTCATCACTTTTATTTCCCGGTTGTGTCTGAGCTGTTAAAACTCCTGTTAACAATGATACGGTGACAACATCAGGGTGCTAATGAGCTTTTATGATGTGTTTGGAAACACTGCCAGAGAGCTTTGGCATGAATCTTGTCAGAGTTAATATTCATGTTCGCTGAAATCCTCCCCGTGGTGACAGGARCCCCGAGCCGAGGAAACAAATCCCAGCACTATGGATTCATGCCATGCTGGAGTAAAGATCTGGATTTTAATTATTGATAAATCTCTAAAATAAGATTTAATGTTTAGTTTTATCTTCAGCTGGCTAAAACCAGCARTAAATTATTAATTCTGATGCTTTTGGAGATAAATCTAAGCTGACGTGAAGGAGGATATTGCAATTCCCGTGGTTATCTTCCATCATTATTTGTGGACGTCCCACCCCTGGAAGTGTCCAAGGCCAGGCTGGACAGGGCTTGGAGAAACCTGGAATGGAGTGAAATGGGATGGTGTTGGAACTCCCTTCYAACCCAAGGGAGAAGGCTTTGAGCTGAGGTTTAATAAAACAGAGCAGAAGTTGGAAAATATTTCAGTTTTTAACCAAATGGGGCCAGGATGGAGCAGGTGCTGGTGGAGGGAGCGTCCGTCCAGCTCACACCGGTGCCATCCTCGGCATCTGTCCCTGACCCCACTCCCGGCTGTGCCAGCGCCTCCTCCTCAGGTTTAGCAGGATGATCACCCCAACCCAGGATTCCTCATCAGTTGGGATTCCAGAGGCTTCTCCCACTCATCATTCCCAACACGCCGCCTGCATTGTCATTCCAACGGCTTTGGGCGCCCTTTGGTTGGAGTAGCAACTCCCTGGCAAAAAATGCCTGGTGAGGTCTTGCCTCGGCCACACCTCATTTATGGCCTTTTTGCCCTTCCCCAAATCCAGTCATGATTTACAGCCTTGAAAACACAGGGTATTTATTGTGATATAAAATGTGGTCTTGCCCTTCTTTCTATTTTATTGTTAAAACGTGTTCAAGAGTCGCGTGCTCGGTGTTGGAAGAGATGYCCTGACTTATTTGGGTTTATAACTGTAACATTCAGGATTTTTGCAGTTTGCCAGAGCTTTGATCAGACTTTGRATTAGTCTAAAGAACTCAGAACACAGGTTATCCATCTTTATCAAAGATTTCGGCAAAGAACCCAAAATTCCGGTTGCCCCTCACTTTTCCAGCTCTTCCCGGGCTGAGTCGAGGATAATTTCGCCCAGAAAAGTGGCTGTTTCAGCCTGCCCAGGAATGAGTCCAGTCATGGACAACACAGAGAATTAACCTCATAAACATTTTCCTTTTGAGATGCAGAGACAAAGAACCCCCTCTCTATAAAACTGAAATTGCAGAGCGGGGATGGCAGTAAAGGACAGGTCATGCGAAGCAGGAGGACAAACCCGTAATTAGCAGGAATGATTTATCTAAAACAATTGACATCTATTAACGAAGTTGGATCTGGAATGAATCGTGGCTGTTAATTGATTAGGAAGTTCTGCACGTGGCTGAATCATGTGCTGGGCACTCTGGGATGGGTATAAAAGTGCCCGACCTCACATCTCGTGCCATCATTTCTCTTGTCTCCCTTCTCTTGTGCTGTGGGTAAGTGAACTCCCAAATTCTCAAATTCCTGAATTCTCAAATTCCTGAATTCCTGAACTCCTGAATTCTTTCTCTAACCAAGCCTTGGGGTGTAGCTTTGGGATCAGTCTGACATTCTCCTGATGGAAGCCATGGGATGTGGCGTTTGGTGCTCTGCTCTGGTTGAGAAGGTGGGGATTGACCTCAGGTTGGACTCGCTGATCTTGGAGGGCTTTTCTGACCTCAGAGACTCCGGGACTGTGTAAACGAATCCATTTGGGACTGTTCAGCCTTTGGGAAGTGCAGATCTGGCTGAAATCAAATTAATATTCCATGAAAACCCTTTCCATAAGTTTTTGTGCTCAAYACAAGATTTATGGGTATATTTTGGGTGCTGAGCTATGAACATTGTCCCGGTCCCTCGAGCCTCTTCATAGCCTTTCATTCTCATGTTTGATTACGAAACTGGTATGAATTTGTGTTTTATTTCTCTTCTCCTCCCTTGCCCCACCATGGTGAATGAATCCATTTGTTTTGTTCTACATAAATATAAATTCTGTTTTATTTTTCTGCTCCTCTTTGCCCCRCAGATCCTCACCCCTGAGCCATGGTTCACACCCTGAGCCCCTGCACCGACGGCAGCGCCTCTCCCTGCGGGGTGGCCGTGCCCCAGCCCGTGGCCGACTCCTGCAACGAGCCCTGCGTCCGGCAGTGCCCYGACTCCACGGTGGTGATTTACCCTCCCCCGGTGGTCGTCACCTTCCCCGGGCCCATCCTCAGCACCTTCCCGCAGCAGAGCGCCGTGGGATCGGCGGGAGTCCCCGAAATTGGAGCTGGGGCTGGGGGCGCTGTCGGATCTGGGGTCGGAGGTGGTTTTGGTGCTGCCCGAACCCCTGGAGCTTGCCAAGTTTATGGCGGAGCCAAGTGGGGCCGGGGGTACCCGGTTGGGACCTGCAGACCCTGCTAAAGCCGGGGAGTGGCTGCTGGAAGAGGGTGACCGGAAGGGTGCAGATCCACGGCCGAGCTCCAGGGCCCCACATTTAGGGAGAGTTGAGCATTTGGGGTGGCATTAAAAGCATCCATGGACTATTAAACCTCAAAAATCCATTTCCATCCTTCTCTCACCCTTTCTGGTATTTATACAGCTTTCCTGCCTCTCCAASCACTCTATTCTCAAAGCTCTGCACTGTTCATGATTCCTTGGGGGTTTTTAGGGATCTTTGTGTCTTTCCACTGACAGTAGGTTTAGATTAGGTTTTAGGGAGAAATTAGGAGGGAATTCTTTCCTTTGAGGTCCTGGCACAGAGCAGCTGTGKCTGGATGCCTGAATGTCCCAGTCCAGGCTGGATGGGGCTGGGAGCAGCCTGGGACAGTGGGAACTGTCCCTTCCCATGGGCAGGGATGGCATTGGATCATCTCTGAAACCCCTTCCACCCCAAACCACTCCGCGCCTCTGTGGCTGTGACAATGTCGAGGATTCGGTGCGAGATCCACTTCAGATCCATTTCAAAGCTCTTTCCCTGATTRCCAATGGACAAAAAGGGTTCTGGAGCAGCCCAGGCCCTGCTCTGCTTCTGTGCCACTGATCGGGGCTGGGCATCGCTGTGGGAGGAGCAGCCCCAGACCTYGCCTGAGTCACGCCGGACCCAGCCACGCCTGCGGGCAGTTTGTGACCGGTGCTCCGTCACCCTGCCCTGTGTCACCTCTCCTTCCTCATTAAACCAGATGTTGCAGCAGATTCTTGGCGTGKTCTCTGCTTTCCCTGTCCTGCTGCACCAACCTGATCCTATCGTTGGGATCGTGAGATTCCTGAGGSATTTGGGGAAGCTCTGTGGGTGCATCTCCCCTGCCCCATCCTTACCCACATTTCCAGTCCCTGTGGAGATTTTTTCTCAATATTGGCTTTTCTGGCACCTCTTCCTGGTGTCCTCAAGCTCAGTCTCCCCATGGTGGCAGTAACATGAGCAGAGCACAGGGTTGGAAAAAAAATCTGGTATCATCGAGTCCAAGCTGTGACTGATCCCCACTGGTCACCCAAAGCAATGTCCAGTCCTTGGGCACCTCCAGATATGGGGATCCAACCCTCCCTGGGCAGGTTTTTTTCCCTTTTAGAGGAGGAATTTCCCCAAATTCCCCCCCCTGAGCCTCCCCTGGCACAGCTCGAGGCCGTTCCCTCTCGTCCCGGCCCCGTTCCCTGGGATCAGATCCCAAATCCCCCCTGGCAGATCCNCCCCCCCTGAGCCTCCCCTGGCACAGCTCGAGGCCGTTCCCTCTCGTCCCGGCCCCGTTCCCTGGGATCAGATCCCAAATCCCCCCTGGCAGATCCCAAATCCCCCCTGGATCCCCCTTTTCTTCACGATCAGCCGCTTTCCCGCTCCCTCAGGATTCTCCGTTCCCTTCTCCTGCTGCTCCAGGTGTCATCAGGGGTTGCAAGATGATGCAGGAACGTGGGGTTATTCCAGGGCGCTCTCTCTGGGGAATCATTATCCT